CTTGTGCTATAATTCATCCTTAAAATTTTTTAAAAATTTGACAAAAAAATTGTTGCCCGGATACTTTTGGCAGGTTGGTGTATATCATGTGTATGTGTATACTCAGGCTAGAACCTTACTTACTCAAAATAGATTTGATTTATCTTCATTATCACTCAAATCACTTTTTATTATCCATCATTCACTCATAAATTTATAATTAATAATTTAGCCTATTTTATTTCCATATACTGTATTTACAACAAATTGTTGGTATAGATTCAGATAATAACAATAGTGATGATGATGATGACGATAACTATGAAGACGAAGATGACAATTATGATGATAATTACGATGATGTTTTCTCCATCACCAAATCGAGAATATCATTTCGTGAGATATGTAAATTAATAATAAATCATTGCACATTTTTAGATTATTTGAAGTTCACAAAAATTTTTTGTAGTTATAGTGATTTAATGGATTCAATTCTTGATTTAAATGGTGATCTCCAAAAGCATTTAAGAAATTAGAAATTTTTACTTCGATAGGAATAATTAGGGATAATATTTTAAATATGGATTTGAAATTTAATTCAAATTCATATTACCTTTAACAGAATTTATTAGTATTCAAAAAATCCACCAATTTATGCTGATTTTAATTCATTATTATGGCTATCATTAGTCAAAAAGAAATATTAACGGGTCTTCATTTAATATCATTTTTATCATTTTAAGAGGAAATTAACACTAATTGGGAAATTTACTTCAACAACTCAACTTTATATTGAATATTGTTGTGGATTGAATGAATCAGATTGTTCATTCTTGGTTCATCATTTTCTCAATTAAGTAGTTTTCCTTATTTTGATTTGAATGGCCATATTCAAGAATTAATTATAAAAATTCTTGAAAAGGCTAATATAAATTAAGAAACATTCGTCTAGGATTTCATTCAGAAATTACATTTGATTCATTTTCAGCAATTTTAAATTATTGCACAGCTTTACTTCATTTAAGTCCTGAACAAGTAATAGCAATTTTTAATAATAATTTTAATGAATTAAGAAGATTTTTATTTGGTTGTAGAGGAGGATTTGATGCAAATATTAAAATTAGAATGGTTTATGAAAATCCATGGAATAATTTGTTCCTTTGATGATCACCATTTCGTTTTTTGTAGAAGCCACTTATAAATACGGTAAAAGAAACGAGTTCAATATTTTTAATAAAATAAAATAAATTTTTATTTTCGTACGAACGAACTTCTCGACGTGGTTGTATTAAAGAAATTTTGTTAATTGGATAATATTCAAAATCGAAATAACTGATAGATGATTGTTTTCTTAAGAATTAAAATATTAAAAGATAGAGTTAAATTAAAACTTTCAATTTATTATTTTTGAAAGTGCGAACTCTATTTAAAACGGAACTATGTATCAACTTTTCGTAACTTTCTTAAAAAGAATTGAATTACAAAGTACAACTCGTCCATCAACAGAACTTTCTTCATTCTCCAAAGAAAATCCAGCACGATTTTTCTTCTTGAACATTCAAAACAAGTGGGAAGACTAATTTTCTAAATTTATTTCACCAATAAACTTTGTATATTTCGTAAACATGTAATGTATCATAGGATGTGACATAGGTATGTACGCGATATATGACAGTGAGTGATTACTCTAAAATAATAGCCAATTAATTTACCAAACAATTAATTTTTGCATATTATTGAATTAGTGTGATGGATAACTAAATCCCTACTGGTTGATTTCAATATTTGAGAAATCACCAATGATCTAGTAAAGTTTACGAATCATCAATTAATGTAATGTTGCACTGCTTCCATAATTAGCTTAAAACTTAGACACTTTTACAGCATTAAGCCACTATGAAAATATGATTTACTCGTTCGTAAAGTTCAAAACTCAAAGCACCCTATTTTCTCTTTCTAAACATCTATTTAATCATGTATCAACCATATGTTTTTACATGACTTTCATATTCCATGTTGTCCGCGCTGAGGATAATACTGATAATCTCAATGATTATTGGACCGCTGATGGTGTCCTTGCGTGTGTAGTTATAATTCTTATGCTACCTTTTCTCGAAAATTTCGGTCGAAGAAACTTTTTTATTCAATGGGTTTTAGAAGGATCAGCTATACTTATTGATTTTTTCAAAACTGTCTCAAGTTTGGGCTTATCTGCAGTTTCAATTTATAGAGGTGTAATATCTATCATTTTTTGGATAATTTTCTCTATTTTGGCAATAAAAGAATTTGAATTTGAGAAGGATACCTTGGAAAAAGCTATAAATTCTGCATCGGTTGTGGTGAATATTTTAAATCTCTCGCAATTGTATGTTTCAGGGCTTCAGGACATCTTTTTCTATTTACAAATCATCAAAATTGCTGTCACTTTTCTTGGGTTAATTGGTGCACTTCCATTTGGATTTTATTTTCCAATTTTGGTTATTACCATTGAAGGATTTCTCCTTTATCGTGATTCAAGTTCAATTGCCTTACTGTTAATATGTTGTTTTCAAATATTATTTTTTTTCATCAATTTCATAAATTGTCTTGGTAAGTTAAAAAAAGAAAAACTTAAATGTGAACTTGATTTCACATTTTCTTGGATTGGACTTTTGTTTTTAAGCACACCAATTTTCTGTTATTTATTTGATGGGATATCATATGTGGTTATTGCGGCCATTGTGTTTTTTTTGACTTCTCGCTTGCCCGCTGCTTGCTTTCCTTTAATAATCTTAATGCCTTTGATTTTTAACATCTCCGTTAATTATTATTTATATTATAAAGGGTTGATGACAGAAGATGATTTTATAGAGCAGTTAAGATTTATTTCAGAAATGATAGCATTCTCAAACTTCTAAGGGAATTTTTACAATTAATAAGTTTCTCCGTATCAACTTTTCTAAATTAAGGAAGGATGTCATTGAGCAAGTAATAGTTTCTATTATAAAATAAATAATGATTTTCAGAATATTATATATTCGCGTCGATATCGTTAGTCTTCAAGTGGTCGGAAATATGTTCTTATTAGGGATGAAGGAAATTTGTATTTTTATTTTTTACCGTATCAATAAAGCTGGGCCTGATGCTGATTTATCATAAACAATCGTGCATGTGTTTCGTGAATTATTTTTTCTGATGTACCCAAAAATTCAAACGACTCTCAATTTCTGTCTTACCCGTTGATCCAGAAGAAAAATGTAATCATGTATTAAAATGGCACTGGATCATTTAAATACAGTAATAAGTATAACGATCATTTCGACTATTCAGAAGAGCATAAAGGATGTGATGTAGAAGGTCAGTGGGGGTTGATTGTGATTTGATTTAGTCTGAATATTTCATGGTAGATTCACACTATTTATTACTAGTAGTAAAGATCGACTATTCAAGTATTTTCTAAAGTTACACAAAAATGGGATTGTCAAAGGAACAAATTGATCATACTGCGAAGTGCATCTCATAACTTTAAAACTTGATGCAGCGACTTGGCATTATGCAAGAAAATCAAAAATGATTTTATATTTATTCTCGGTTTTATTTGACGAAATTCCGCTTTAATTATTTTTAACTTAGAAAAAAAAATAAATTACCCAAATTTTGACCAGCAGGTAATATCATCACAACCCTTGTCCAGCAATGAATTGGATGTGCAGCAAGTATTAATAATATTAATAAATTAAATATAAAAGTGAATTCGTTAACTTACTCAACAAGTACAACTAGTTCGTCAATATAACTTTCAGACTTCCACATTCTCAAACGAATACAGCATGATTTATTTTTTCTTGAACATTTAAAACAAGTGAAGATTAAATTTTTTTTTTTTTTTGCTTCTACATTTATTTTGCCAATTAAATGCGAATTGGCATTCACAAATGAGCGAAAAAATATTAAAGATCAGCTACACGAAGTCGAAATGCTACGCAAATAATCCTAACGTCTGTAATTCTATCCAATACTTGCATATCCTTGAAAAGTTTAACGTGTTTGGGACAAGTTCCTATATATTTATGAAATATATAAATTTAAAAATTATATTTCTTTTCTGCATTTAGTTGAGCAACTTATCTATTGGGTAATTTCCACTTTCCCTTTATCAAAATCATTTAGGAGTTGCATGGTTTCACCACATACCCCAAGACACCTGTAAATTCTTGACTTTATTCTCCGTATAGCTAACAATGCAGCTAAATATGATTAGTGCAGCTAAAAATATAATAAAACATTGCATGCATATATGTAATAAGATTATGCATTGTAGTTCTGTAGATCTGAATTGAAAATGATTAAAAATAGAAATTCAATCATTCATACCATAAGGAAAAATAAATCGTGATACATTAGTTTATTAATAGCCTGATTGAAGCAGGGAAAAAATTTGGCTATAATAACTGTCTTAATTCCTCACTCAATTGCAATCACTAATTACTCAACAGAAAATCATTAAAATATGGCTCTCTTTACTCGTTACCTCTTGCTTTTGCTAGCTGCCATCTTCTTTTGCACCTCCGTGCTTGCCTTTACAAGTACGCCGCCTCTATCCGGGATCAAAGTTTTAGCACCAAAGCCAGGTACTGCTTTTAAGAGAGATAAACCAATCACCATTAAAATCCAAACCGAAAAACCACGAGGTACGAGAATTTTTCTAATTCGAAAATAAAAAAAACAAGTATTAATATGTAGAGTTAATCCCGTATGCCTACTAACTACCATTTGCTATAACAAAAAAAAAAAAATCTTTTTCTGTTAATGAAGGTCCTGTAATTGAAGAGCTTTATGGTGAACTTGTCTTAAGCTATGATTTAAGTCCTCGCGCTCCTCAAAAACTCGTAGTTGGAGTCTTAAAAAAGCCAATATTGAATAATGGTATATACACGTATAAATTTGTGACAGACAAATGGAGCTATGGCCTGTATACCGGCAATCTTACCATCCGTAAGTGTTTTTTTTCAATCATTTTCATTTTTTACTCGAATGATTTTAATCTTATACTTTTTATTACTATTATGCATTGTTCTCATTTCATTCTATGGACCAAAACTATAGGTTTACTTGAATTATACAACAATGGTAAGCCTCATACTTTTGCGTAAACTTAATATTCATTATGATCATTATTTTTTTAACAATGCTTTACTTGCTTTCGTACAAAAAAAAAATTTTTTTAGGTAATGCCCAAAGCACCATGTTCCTCAAAAAAGAAATTCCGATTAAAGTCGTCAATTAAGTGACTAAAAACAACAACGTAAAACCTTTATAATAATCATAATATTCGACTTCTTCTTACATATGTTTGATATTTAATTATTTTTTATTATAATATTTAATGTCGAATAAAATGAATCTAGAATAAATTCATTCATTAGATAATTAATTTTACAAATATTTATACAATAACTAGAATTTCATTTCTTGTCTTATCATTTATTAGTTTTTTTAAATAAAATAATTTTAATAAAGGTATATTAACTTTACTCACAACAACTATCCATTACATCACATTGTTTACACACTGATCATAAATGTGGCACGATTATATTTATAAAAAATGGATTAGAACTTATATATCACGTATGGATACTCAAGCTAGAACCTTACTTATTCAAAATGGATTTGATTTATCTTCATCACCACCTCTTGTCACTTTTTATTATCCATCATTCACACATAAATTTATAATGATGATAATGATGATAATAATGGTGATGATGATGATGATGATGTTTTCTTCATAATAAAATCGAGAATATTATTTCGTGAGATATGTAAATTAATAATAAGTCGTGCACATTTTTAGATTATTTTACATTAGTAGAAGTTCCCAAAAATTTTTATAAAAATTTTCATAATTATAGTGATTGATTTAATTGGTTCAATTCTAGATTTACCTAGTACCCCAAAAGTATTTAAGAAATTGGAAAGTTTACTTCAATAATATCAATAAGAAATTCTGAACTGATTAGAACCATATATGAATCATTAGCATTAATTAGTGATAATATTTTAAATATGGATTGGGTGTTTAATTCTTTTTCAAATTATCTAGTGCCATCTTTAACAAAATTTATTAATGTTCAAAAACGTTTAGAAAATCTATCAATTTGTTCTAGTTATCTAAATTGTGATTCATTATCATGGGCTATCATTAGTCAAAAAGAAGCATTAAAAAGTCTTCGTTTAATATCAGCAAATTTCTATCAATTCAAGAGATTAAAACCGCTTAGACAATTTGCTTCACTTCAAGAACTTTATATTCATGGTTGTTCTGGATTTTATCAATCAGATTGGTTATTCTTGGCTTCATCATTTACACAATTAAGTACTTTTTCATTATTTTGATTTGAGTGGATATCATTTTTTTTTTTTTTTTTTAATTCCAATGGAGTCATGCTTTATTAAACAATTTATTTTGCAGTTGATAAAAATTAAACAA